TAAAAGAGTCTGTAGGTGTAAAATGTTTTCCCAGCATGAGAAAATAGTGTTCCCACCTGATACAGCTGGGAAAAGCAGGTCATGAAGCTTGCTTCAAAGTGAAGGTCAAGGTGGGGGCAGGGCTAATGACAAATCCTAGTCTCTGCTCCTCGTCCAAGTTGGTTTTTCACCTGTATTACAGTGAGTCATACTATGGTCTTTCTCCTCAAGATATAAAGGAGAGTGTGATGTAAATGCCATCCAACTGATCTACAAAGTTGAAGGATAAAGATAATTGGACCAGAGAGCAAACTTCAGGATTGATTATTTCTGTCTCCTCTCTTCTTTTACTTTTTCTTTTTTAAAAGTATGTTTTTATTGATTTCAGAGAGGATGGGAGAGGGAGAGAAACATCAATGATGAGAAAGAATCATTGATTGGCTACCTCCTGCATAACCCCTACTGGGGATCAAGGTGGCAACCCAGGTATGTGCCCTGACTGGAAATCACACTGTCATGCTCAACCACTGAGCCTCTGCAGCTGGGCTCTTTGTTCTTTCTCATCTTCCTTCTTCCTAAAAGATGCTCTCTTTGGATATCTTTGTAACACAATAAAAATTGCTATTTTAAAGTACGTAAATATACAATAAATGTAGTAATAGTTGCAATATATTATTACATATATAATAACAAATATAAGAATATAAATATAGAAATTAAATGAGATTCCATTCTCAAAATTTGGTCCAGTAAATGAGAAGGCCTGAAAGGAGGAGGATGGAAAAATGAAGAGTGAAACAAAATACTTCCCCTTCAAAGAATACACACACATATGCACAAGACATACACATACACAATAAGGAATAGGAGAGTGACATAGGAAAAGTGCTGCTGGTCTGAGAATTGTCAGTACATTTATTTAGTTTTATCCTGCTATTTCCTCTGTCTCTGGGGTTAGCCTCTATTACTGCCTTTTCAAATGCAAAATAGATTTCTTTGCTCTCTGGCCTTCAGTGTCAGTGGCTCTGTTGTGGGTGGGAATGACACAACTCAGTGGAGTGGAAATCCTCTGTTGAGTGTCAGCAGTAGGAACCAGAGTAATCAATTTATAAGCTAACACATTACATTCACTCTTGCTGCCCTTCACTCTTGATCAACTTAGTCAGAATCTTTTAATCCTTTGGGGTAGGCACCCTGGGGATCAGCATTTAAAAGCAGACAAGCAAACAAACAAACTCTCAGATGGTTTCTAATATGTTACCAGTATTCAGAACCATAGCTCAAGAAGATCCTTACCACAAAATATCTATTCACAAAATTTGAAGCAAACTTTGTTCTTTGATTTTTGAAGAATGAGAGGATTTTAACATGTAATTATTTATTTTTATCTTTTCTGCTATTTTGCTGTTTTGATTTTTTAAATGTTTTTTTTTTATTTTCTTACTCCAGATTGTCATAAATTGATATTTCAAATATTGCTTCATATTACCTGTTTCACAAATGCCCTGAGAAGTTTTGTTTGATTAGGGACCATGCTCTGTTCTTGGTTTAAAGTCTTCATTAAACTGAGTTTGTTGCCCTGGCTAGTGTGATTCAGTTGATTGGAGCATCCTCCTATATACCAAAAGGTGAAGGCTCAATTCCTGTTAAGGGCACATACACAGGTTGCAGGTTTGATCCCTGGTCAGACATGTGTAGGAGGTAACCGATAAATGATGTTTCTCTCTCTCTCTCTCTCTCTCTCTCTCTCTCTCTCTCTCTCCCTTACTCCCTCCCTCCCTACCCTCTCTATAAAGT